AGCTGCTCTTGGAGCATCTGACAGTGATTTAACAGTGAACTTACAGTCACTTTTAACAGCGGCCTTCATCACTTTTGAAGGACAACGCGCGCCACAATAAATCGATGTTTAGCGAACGTTTCTATGGTTACCAATTGACACATCGGCAGGGCCAAACATAGTAAAACAATTTTCTATTTTCATTTGTAAGTTCTTTAAGTTTACATAGTCGCAATATGGGCATGCTGCACAATTTGACGGGCTTGATCAAAGTCAAAAAGGACAAAATGACGATACTTGTACTGGGCCTGAATAACAGTGGCAAATCGACGATAATTAACCATTTCAAGAAGTCAAACGAACAGTCTGCTATAATGGTGCCAACAGTGGGGTTTCTCATTGAGCAGTTTTACAGTAAGTTTTGCTATACAAAATGCATCATCTCTTAATAATTCTCATCTGGCAGACATGGGCGTTTGCATAAAGGCTATTGATATGTCTGGAGCTACACGTTACAGAAATTTATGGGAGCATCAGTTTAAAAATTGTCAGGGAATAATCTACGTAATCGATTCAAGCGATAGAATGAGATTCGGTATATCTAAAAAAAAAATTATAAGCATATACATATATCATTTTCAATTACATTCCTTTTTAGTGGTTGTCAAAGATGAATTAGATCTGGTGCTGCAGCATCCCGATCTGCGCGATAGAATATTACCCATACTATTCTATGGAAACAAATCGGATCTAGAGGACTCACTATCTAACGTAAAAATTGCAGCGGGTAACTAAAGTCATATAAATATAAATTAATGATTGATTGAATGATCCTGAATTTGAATCTCTTTCAGCTCTGGGTTTGGAAAACATCAAGGACAAACCTTGGCACATCTGCTCCAGCAACGCCATTTCCGGAGAAGGTCTAGACGAGGGCATACAATGGCTGGTTCAGCAAATCCGTTTCGCCTTATTAAGCAATAGAAAGGGTGGTAAAATGAAGATGGTCTCCAAGGACATTAAGTAATCTCGTATTGCTCCTTTTCGAATTTCTTGTTTGT